ATATATATATATATATATATATTTGATGAGTAGTATTTTAAAAAAATTTAATTGCCTACATGGCTGCTAAGATTTATGATCAGTTAAAAGCATTAATTAAGAAAATAGAATAAAAATTATTAAATTAGATTCAAATGATGTTTAAATATAAACAATAAATTTTAAATCTTGTCTCAATTCTTAAAATCTCATGGCTATGTGATTAGGGTTGTCAAAACAACTCTTTGTTAGTGAATGACTCATGTTTGGCTCGCTAAGCGAATGACCCGTACACGAACACATTTTTTGAGCTCGAAATATAAACGAGCCGAACACGAGCTGTTTACACCCCTAGAGGCAATGGAGAGAGTGATTATCGCATGAGGAGAACCTAATCGTTGACCAACAAAAACTCCAGAGCTGTCTAGCTTTGACCCCAACTTTATATGGAAGTAGTGCTTAGACCTATAGTGGTTTACGTTTATACCATGCAATTCTTATATATTTACATATACAACATTTATAATTTGATATTTATTTGCACAACACTCAAATCTTTAGAATCAAATTACAAATAAAACACTAAGATTTAACTTTCCTTTAAATGAAACACACCTTTTATTGTTATATTTTGATCTAATTATGACATTATATCGCATAATAAGTAAGTATTGCAATTTAAGTATTCTATATGTAAATGTATAGAGATTATATGGTATGCATGTAAATGTCTCATACCTAAATTATAAAATATGGCGCTAAATAGAGTTAAGCTATAAAATAATATAGTTTTGATTGTATCATTTTAATTACATACATATTAAGACTTTTAAAATAAGGGGCATATGAGTAAGCCTAGTAAGCTCATAATGGTGATAATTAGATTGGTGAGTGCAATATGACAGTGATGAGTACATATTGGACTTACGAGTACATGCTAGCTAGTTTGTTGAACTCGGTGAGTGCGCCTCATCAAACTCCGGCCAAATCTAAGAAATATGTATCAAACCTAAAATATGAGAAAAAAATATTGTGTCTAGGGTCCGGACGCAGAGCTGAGTTCCGACAATGGACGCGATGCAGGGATCACAGGCGATGTTTTTTTTTTCTTCCGCCGTGATCAATGCATGGTGTCCGTTGTTCGGACCGTCGTGATCAGTGCATCGTGTTCGTTGTCCGGACTCCGGACCGGAGTCTAGACGATGGACACGATGCACAAATCACGGGCGATGATTTTTTGTTTTTTCTTTCTCCGCTGTGATCAGTGCATCGAGTTCGTTATTACATCTGGATTACATCTGTCATGTAATATTTTTTCCTATGACCTAAATTGGATTAATTTAAAAACATCAAATATATGAATATACAATTCTAACTAATTTTAATAATATTTGGTTCATTGGTTGGGCCCCAATTAAATTTTCTTATCAATTTAATAAAGTTCAGATTTTTAAAGGTTTGTACGAACCTATTTTCTATTTGGATTTCAACGATGCCGAGTTTTTTCCTTCCCCGCCGAGCTGCATCACGCGATGGAATACATTTTCTTCAATAAATTTTATTTATTTATGATTTATTTAGGAGTAGGAATAATCTACTGATAAGTTGAATAAAAATAATTTGGGGAGTAGCAACAGTTTATTGAATAATCTACTGATAAGTTGAATAAAAATAATCTGTGGATAAGTTAGGTGCGGTGACTATTACATATTTTTATTTTTTTGTAACAGCCAGATCACTACCAAAAAGCTGCCACCGCATTTAGATATGTGCTGTGTAAAAACACAGTTTTCAGTCTTTTCAAAATGCATAAGCTGCCAAAATACAGGTTTACCCAAACAGGTCAGGTGTGTTTTCAAAACGCCACCGCACCAAATAAACTGCCTCAAACGGATCTTAGTCTACGTCTGTCAATAATATAAATTTATGATAAGTCAAATTAATCAACAAAGTTACTTTTAAATCCATTTTTTTAGAGAATAAAATGTTTGAATATTGTCGTGTGTAATAACAGGATAAAATTAATTATAGGGCCTTTACTTGCATGTATTTACGTATCTAACACCTGAACTTCTTTACATTTTACATTTATATCACAGAGATTTATATATAAAAAAAATATAATTATTTTAATTTTTAAAAAGTCAGAAAGTCAAATAATGTATATATACGTAATATTTGAAAGTTTAGGTGTTAGATATGCAAATATAAAAGAATTATGTATTGTGTATGTGAATCTCCCTTAATTTGATTACATTATTACTTTCATAAATCATTCTGTTATTCATGTGTACATTTAGATCATCCCATAATATTATTAAAAATAAAAAATTAATTAGAATAAAATTATTAGATATTCATAATATTTTTATTATAATTATACATATTTAACTAATATTTGATTATATTACCAAACTATTTAATTATATTCATTTTATAATATAATTTTTTATTGTCACAATATTGTACTAAAATTCATCATATCTTCACATAATAAAACTTACAGATAAAAACATAAAAAATTTCAGGTACAATTTAAAATATATATAATAAAAAAACTCTAATTTTAATATAAAATTTATGAGAAATTTTCAATAGGAGTCCGTGGAAAACCATTCGTAAGTGCTTTAAGAAATGAATTAACATTGCATTTGGAGGAATAAAGGTTGGGTTAAGCTAATTTAAGCTCATTATAAACCAAGCAGAGTGGAAATCCATTCGTAAGTGCTTTAAGAAATGAATCAACATTGCATTTGGAGGAATAAAGGATGGGTTAAGCTAATTTAAGCTCATTATAAACCAAGCTGCCGTCCTTGGGCGGTCTTGACTTCAGATACGCTAGGTTTAACGGCTTGGGATCGGAAAAGTGATCGGAGAAGGGAGCAAGGGGGAAGAGGAAGATGGCTGAGTACAGTGAGTTGAGAAAGGCGGTGGATTCAGTTGCAGTTGTGGACGCTCACGCACACAATCTGGTGGCCATCGATTCCGACTTCTCCTTCCTCCGCTGCTTCTCAGAAGCCGATGGCGAAGCCCTAACCTTCGTTCCCCACACGCTCTCCTTCAAGGTACCGGCTTAGGGCATTCGTCATTCCTTTTTCGGATATCTCTGTTTGGGAATCCTCTTTCTCTGCTAATTTCAGTTGAATTTTAGTACTGTTTTTTTTTTCGATTTGATAATTTTCGGGAAAATAGGTCACCTTTTTATTTCCTTTTTTGTACCGGGGGAAAGGTGTCTTTCGCTCGTGCTTAAAGTTCTAGTTTTTATTTTTTTTGGGTGGGAAGATGGGCCCCCCGTGCATTTAGGCATCTCACATCAAAACTCTTGTTTTTACTGACCTAACGTTCAATTCATACTCTTTAACAGTGTGAAACCGTGAAATCCACGTTTTCATGTCATAATTAAGGTGCAGCATTTATAAAAATCTAAATTTTGGTTTGAGATACGTAAATGTATAGGAATTGAGTGATACGTCTGTAAATTTCCTATGAAAAGTACAAGGAGGAGAAAAACTCATAGGTGGACGAAGAAATGGTCTAACAGTAGCTAAGGAAGAACTATGGAGGGATACCATAGTGAGTAGAAAACCTGAAGAAAAAAAAGGAAGGGGAAAATAAATAACAAAATGAAGAGCTAAGACGAATATATCAGGATTTAAAAAAATAAATGCTCCATCCAGGTGTAGGGAGGGATACGAGGGAAGCACCAGCATCCACAACAGAGTAGGCGATTGATTAGGTAGTAGTATCTGCAGAGGCAATCGAGTTCGGGACAAAAGGCATACAGGGGATGTGAAGAGTAGCATAAGGAGGATTAAGAAGATACTCAATCTTATATAACTGGTTGAGCCTTTTTCTAGAGATTAAAAATTCATCATTGCTGTTCCAAAAAACTAAAATTTCCATTCAGAGGAGAGGGAAGTCCATCGAAGAGCCAAAGCATCTGGTTGATTTCCTCATTTAATGAAGGAGAAACTCAGCAATCCAAAATTCCGCCCATCGAATAGGAAAAACTCCCAATATGTAGAAACACAACAATTGCCATCAGAAGCAGTGAAAAAAGGCCTCCAGAGATCCAGTAAGAATGAGATATACCAAAAGAAATGTAGTAGGTGAGAAATAATGAAAAAATAGTAAATGAAAACCACCAAAAAGTTGTCCCCACAACTGCAGCATAAACTCCAGAAACATTACCAGAGATATTAATAACAGGCAACAACAATAAAATAAGACACTTCAACAACGACAAGCTTTTATTCCACTAAGTGGGGCCGGCCACATGAATTTTTTTCCTTCACTGTGTCCTATAGGATGGGCAATAGAGCTCTCCAACTACATATTTAATTTTATTCGTAGTATCCTTGAAAGGCTCAGATTTTTCATTAAAATTTATGAAATTTCTCTCTTTCCAAATGAAGTGAGAGGTGGTCTGAACAGCTAGTAGGAAAAAAAAACATCCTAGTAACTTTACGGGAGATAGATTCGTCATAAGAAATCACCTGATTCAAAGTGCACGCACCCAAAATGAAAGTAGCAGCCAAATGGTATGCTATGTTTGAGAATATGAAATATGTTCTGGCATTAAAAAAAAAAAAAAAAAAGAAGAAGATGAGCATTAGTCTCATTATCAATCTTGCACATCACACATTGAGGGTTAACCAAGTTACCTCAAGAGATGAGAATATCTTTGGTTTCAGCCCTCTATTAAGAACTTTGCAAGCAAAAGAGGCATATTTGGGGGAGTAACCCTGGAACCATAGTAATTTATACCAAGCAACTGCATTTTGACTATCCTTAAAGAAAATGGTAGGTGTATTTGTGGGAGAAGAAATTCTTTATAAGCCATAGGCAGTTCTATTTAGAGCTTTGGATGGGAATTGGGGAAATATATTGGACACAATCAGCAGGAGTGGACTGTGTGAAAGGGAGATTCCAACAGCCATTGGTAATAACCTCAGTCAATCTAGTAATTTTTGGGCAGCCAAACCAAAAGAAGACTTGCTCACCATATTTTGCAAACAAAGATTCATTGTGCAGCCAAAGATAAAAATGAAAGTTTTCCTTGATTATGCACTTGTAATTTAATACACTTTCTTAAGTTTGCAGCAGTTTTTTTAAGTTCCTTCGAAAAAATTGGAGGATATTTATTCATTTGGTACCACAGAGAGCCAAACTTAGTATCACATCAAACGAAAAAGGCAGGGTTATAATTTTACATCCTCGAGATCATCTTAGCTTTGCCTATAGTATTAAGAGAGTCAAGGTTGGACAAGCCCAAGCCACCCATCTGCTAGGGCATAGTAACACTTTGCCGGACAATGGTAAACATGTGTTTATTTGAGTTATTGGAGTGCTAGAAGTTATTCATCAGAGAGATATCGTATTTTTTTTATGATTTTTGGGATAGTTGCATGCTTGAACCAATAGACAAGGAAATTTGAAATATTTGATTTTATAAGTTGGAATCTACCAGCAAAGGATAGTTGTTTTTTCCGTCTACTTAAATATTGATGGATCCTTTCAAGAAGCTTATGGCAAGTTTGAGCATTAACTTTAGAAGAGCGGATGGTGATACCCAAAATGATCCCAAGGCAGTTGCTTTTCCTGAAATCCGAGAACAAAAATGAATTGGTTTCTCAATTTATTATTAACAGATTTAGAGTAACAAATAATAATTTTTTTGAGGTTACTTTTGGTATAGAAGCCTCATGATAAGAGTAAAGAGTACGCATCAAACCAATGGCTTCACTAAATAGTGGCTTTCCCAAAGAGAAGGAGGTCATCAACATATATGAGATGATTAATCCCATTATTAGAATTAGTGAAATTATAGTAAGATCTATATTAGTGTAAAAGGTGGGATAAACCATCCCTGGCAATGGTAAATAATTAGGGAAACACAGGGCACCCTTGTATAAGACCAGTCGAGGAAGGGAAGTAGCCACACATCTCACCATTGATAATGACGGAGAAGTTAACGTTGGCAGTACAAGCTCTAATCCATCCCATAAATTTGTTAGGAATGCCCATCTTATCCATTCTGTCATAAATAAACTCTTTTTTAACATTGTCAAATGCTTTTTTGAGATTTATCTTTGGCAGTCCAATCTCTAATCCATCCCATAAATAAATTTGGCAGAAACTTTTTTGATGGTTTATGAATTTGAACCCATGCAGTAACTAATTTGTCAAAGTGATGTTATTAGCAATCTCTCTTCCAGAAAGGAAGACAGCTTGAGAATGGTGGATGATGTTAGGAAGAATACTTTTCAGCCTATCAACAATAAGCTTGGTTATAACTTTATATAATGCATTGCACAGAGATATGACCTATAGTCATTAAGAGATCGGTCATGTAGAGACTTGGGGATGAGGTTTAAGGCAGTGTGTTTGATTATTTTCGACAATTTTGAAGAGAGAAAAAATATTGAATAGCTTTGACACAGTCGTTGCCGATGATATCCCAACTGTCTTTAAAAAATTTAGACGTGAACCTATTATGACTAGGGGTTTTATCATTGAAAATATGAAAAATAAACTTTCCTAATATCTTCTTCCATGAAATCAGTGGTAAGCATCTCAATATCATGTTGGGCCAGTGAAGTACTCAAAGGAATGGGCAAAGAATCAGAAGAGTTTAAATGAGGGGTTTTAAACAGGTTAGAGAAAAAAGAAAGAACCTTTTGAGTAATGCCCTTTCGAGAGTTTATGCAAACATCATTGGAAACAATCTCTTTAATGAAATTTCTATTATTTTTCCTTTTTTTCCCTTGGTAAATGAATTTTAAATCATCCTCGTGTTTAGAGAGCTAATAACACTTTGCCGTTCTTGATCCAAGAGTTCTCACTGGAGATGGCTTGAGAAAGTTGATCTTGAATAGAAAGGCTTTAAGAGATAAGATCTCTGAAAGAGGCTAAGTGTCAAGAGCCAATGAAATATCAACCAACAGTTATTCAATATTGAGAAGACACTTGATAGGTTGTTAATTTGCTGGTTAAACCACTTGAATTTGAAGCCGGTGCTAGGGAGCTCGTAGCAGTCACCATTGAAAATATAGGAGTTGAAATCCAGAAGTTTAATGGGGGTAGGAGGGGTTCCCCCAACTTTCTCTTCTAACTTTATTATGCAGTTGAAATCCCTCATAATTAACCAGGTCTAATAGAGGCAGCAAGAGAGCAGATAGAATTCCATAACCTCTTCATGAGAGGCATTATTTTTCACATAAATGAAAGTGATCATGAAGAAAATAGAAGAAGAGAAAATTACTCTACCATGAATACATTGAGGCCGAGCATCCAACAAATTAAATGAAATGTTGCCCGAATTCCTTTTAATCCAGATTATGCCACTCTAAGAGGAGGATAAATTATTCACTTCTTTCTGAAAAGGAAAAAGAGTTTATTGTTTGAAGAGCACATGATCAAAGAGCATCATTATTAATTTTTTTCTCTAGAAGACAAATGAGATCCAATTTATGAGACTTTACAAATTTTTTGCAATCATTAATTCTATCACGATTGCAAAATCCCCTAACATTCCAGGAAGCCAAATTAGGATAGAACATAAATAAATTTTTAGGTAGGAGACGACCCCACCTTTTGCTTACTCTTTATGGGTTTAGAGGTGGATGGGAAGGTGTGGGAGGAAGAGTGTGAGGAGGGTTAGAAGAGTGGTGATTATAAGGGGGAGATATCGAGGAGTAAGACTTAAAATGGTGTCAGGGATGATATCAGAGGAGACACGATCGGGAGGGGGTGGGGAATTTGGAACTGTGATAGTAGGGTCATTAGCTTCCCCTGTAATTCTATAATGGAAATTGTTTTAAACAACTCCATGGATTTAATTAATAACTGGTGGAAGGGTCATATTCTATTGATCAAATTGCTCTAGAAATTAGATGAATAATATTTTTCACTTGATGCTATTTCAGGAATGGAAGACAATTATATTGAGATTGTACTTTATTTTTTGGGGTCTAATTGTAAATAGAAATTATAGAAGAAATCTAGAGGTTATTTATAAAAATTTTTATATGGTTCTATTGAAGCTCAACTCTTGAATGGAAAA